ATAAACTCTGAAAAAATCAAGCTGTTCCAAGTTCTACTAGCCGTAACTTCCTTCAGAATGAACATTTTCGAAATTCAAAAGCAGCATTGTGTTCATCTCGAGTCGAATCTTACTTTGTACAGCATGCCCTTGAAATTCCGTTTCCAATTTTTTCAAAATTTTCTGCGCGCGTATATTCACAAGGTCGCAACGCAGCGCACATCAAACATAAAAGACTCCATTAAGCACCGTTGGATTGTGCCGCTTTCGCAGACTATCGAGCGCTGAAAAGCAATCGGAGATTCTTTTTGAAAAAAGATAGAAGAGCTGGTGAATTTTGGAAAATTTGCGTTGTCTCAAATTTTGCCCACTGTGACCCTAAAATGAGGAGCTCTACTGCTGAGCAGATGTGTTCGCAATCAGCAGGTCAGATGACCTCTGTGAGCAAGTTTTCAAAGAAATTCGGGTGATTTGATTTTTTCTCGTTCTACGCCCTGAGACACGCCGATGGGTTTTGGTTAAAATGTCGATGATCTCGGATTGTAAGGAAACTTCGCTTAAAGAGGTTTTCGAACACGCTGTTTACGATAATCGTCTTTTGTGCGGAGTACAAAGTTTTCTTGCAGAGATATGGTGAGGGAACTTTAGCTAAGCCACGCAAGTTTGTAGATTCGCCTGCATTTTTCGAGCACCTCTTGGGAAATCTGCTTGCTTGCCTCTGCAGGTTAAATTCAATAGAAAGCGTGCTATTCAACGGTGCATGCATCTGGCTTCAATCTGTAGCAATCGCCGAGTTACGGGCCTACGAAATCACGTCCTCATGAGTTTTGCCCAAAATGTAAAGATCGCCTGCTTCGTAGAAATTCCACCTAAGTGACTGTAAGACACTGTGGTGGTCACCAATTTTGCGTTTACTTCGCTTAAGGAATCTACCCTGCTGTACTGGAAGTAATTAAATAGATCTGAGCTCTAGCCACGAATCTGCTTTGATATTCACCTAAGGGCTCAGGCACACACAACCACCAGATCCAATAAAATAAGATCTCAAGGATCTTTCGAGTTGAACACAAAATTGGTGACCACAGTGTCTTACAGTCACTTAGGTGGAAACTTATGAGAACGTGATTTCGTAGGCCCGTAACTCGGCGATTGCTACAGATTAAAGCCAGATGCATGCACCGTTAAATAGCACGTTTTCTTGAATTTAACCTGCAGAGGCAAGCAAGCAGATTTTCTAAGGGATGCTCGAAAAATGCAGGCGAATCTACAAACTTGTGTGGCTTAGCTAAAGTTCCCTCACCATATCTCTGCTAGAAAACTCTGTACTCCACGCAAAAGACGATTATCGTAAACAGCGTGTTCGAAAACCTCTGAGCGAAGTTTCCTTACAATCCAAGATCATCTACATTTTGACCAAAACCCATCGGCGTGTTCAAAGGGCGTAGAACGAGGTAAAAAATCAAATCACCCGAATTTCTTTGAAAACTTGCTCACAGAGGTCATCTGACCTGCTGATTGCGAAAATCATATCTGCTTAGCAGTAGAGCTCCTCATTTTAGGGTCATAGCGGGCAAAATTTGAGACAACGCGATTTTTCCAGAATTCACCAGCTCTTCTATCTTTTTTCAAGAAGAATCTCCGATTGCTTTTTAGCGCTCGATAGTGTGCGAAAGCGGCACAATCCAACGGTGCTTAATGGAGTCTTTTATGTTTGATGTGCGCTGCGACCTTGTGAATATACGCGCGCAGAAAATTTTGAAAAAGTTGGAAACGGAATTTCAAGGGCATGCTGTACAAAGTAAGATTCGACTCGAGATGAACACAGTGCTGCTTTTGGATTTCGGAAATGTTCATTTTGAAGGAAGTTGCGGCTAGTAGAACTTGGAACAGCTTGATTTTTTCAGAGTTTATCAGCTTTTCTATCTCTTTTGAAAGAGTCTTCGGCTGCCGTTTAACGCACGATAATCTAGTGAAAGAGTACTATCGAACGGTGCCCACGGCAGTCTCACATGTGTTGCTCGTTGCGTTACCACCATGCGAAGAGGCGTCCGCGTGCAAATTCAAGATTATTGAAAACAAGGTTGGACACAACCTGTACACCAAAAGATTCGCCTTGACGAGCTAAATACAATGCTGTTTTCGGATTTCGAATATACTCATTCGGAAAGGAATTATGGCCCTGTGTAACTTGCGTGATTTACATGAATTTCGCGAACCTTCCTGGAATTCTGCGACATTCACGGAAATTTTGCACATTCTGTGAGCGGTATTGTATTCGTAGCTGCAGTCCAAGAAGCATAATAGCATTATTTGTGTCAAGTAACCCTTGTGGATCAAGTTTCAGCGAATTTTGAGGTTTCCAAATATTGGCACATCAAGTGAGATGGTCATGATCTTTTAACGTTGTTTCAAAGATGAGTAAACTACTTCTTTTTGCACTCAATAAAAAGTACTACTTCTTTGCTTGTATTAGGAATCCCACTTCATTTAACCATCAAACTCCAGAATCAAGAGCAAGCCAAAGTTTCGTTTGTCCAATTTTTCGCTCTCAGAATCTCAGATTAGATTCGCAGCTTTCAAAAAGGATCAATCTGCTTGAAGTTACAGCACTTTGAGAAAAAGTTTCGCAAGTGCCCGGGAACTTTCTTTACAATCTGATACTTACTTTTCTCGCGACATACAAAAAATGATCCAAAATCATGATCTTAGCGTGATCTTATATATAAAGCTGAATGTCTGTTTGTATGTATGTATGTATGTCTGTATGTCTGTGTGTACGTATGTTCCGAATAGAAAATTCCATTTCTCAACCGATCCGAACCAAACTTGGCACACATACACTGCGGGCCCCGGCGGGTCTCATAGGCTACTTTTCGTATCGATCGATATCGATTTTATCGATTTTTTTGCAAAATTTGAGCTACGGGGCTGGGAGTTGGCACGGGGGGGTAAGTGAGCATGGGGATTCCGAATACAATATTAGTTTTTAAAATCGTGCATTACTTTTATCGATTTTATCGATTTTTTTGCAAAGTTTGAGCTAGCTAAAAATCGATAAAATTGATAAAAGTAATGCACGGTTTCGAAAACTAATATTGTATTCGTAATCAGCATGCTCGATTACCCCCCTGTGCCAAATCCCAGCCCCTTAGCTCAAATTTTGCAAAAAATCGATAAAATCGGCATCAATCGATAGCGAAAAGTGGACTGTGACACCCGCCGGGGCCCGAAGTGTATGTGTGCCAAGTTTGGTTCGGATCGGTTAAGAAATGGAATTTTCTATTCGGAACATACGGCGGAGCCGGGTAAGCCAGCTAGTAACTGATAAAAAGTCTATATCAGTGATAAGGGTTGATCAACTGTACAATCCTTTTCGACAGTTTTCCATACTCAAAACTTAATACCAAAACCTATTAGCAGTTTACACCCGTATACTTCTTTTAAAAAGCGTTATCACAGAAAACAACAAATTAGTATCATATGTCTTCCCGTCACCACGAATTACGGGCATACTGTATATCAAAAGATTAGTCCCATTAAGCTGAAGCCAAAACTTTACGCAGACTACAATTAAAGCGTTTTAAGAGGTTATAGTTAAATCCCACTTATCCCGCAGATCCCGTGAAGTTGCAAATCACGCGAATCCCGACAATCCCGCAATTTTGGACAAATTCTACCGCTACAACTGTAGTCTCAGACAGCGGATAGGACCCCTCCGCCGGAGAAATGGCAGGGTCGCGGCGTATCCCCAGCGGTGGGTCTCCCATTTGTCCGGCGGAGCCCTCCCATTTCTCCGGCGGAGACCTCCCATTTCTGTTCCGGATACCTCCCATTTTCTGCTCCGGATACCTCCCATTTTCTGCTCCGGAGACCCCCCATTTTCTGCTCCGGAGACCCCCCATTTTCTGCTCCGGAGACCCCCCATTTTCTGCTCCGGAGACCCCCCATTTTCTGCTCCGCAAGTCTGCCGCGGCATACTGTAATTAGCCCTAATTAAAGGCAGCTTCCAGGCAGATCTGGACCCACGGGGCTTTTACATGGAAAGTACTTTTGGGGCCCTAACTAAGCCACTACCCAACCGGCAGCTCAGGTAGTGCTGTAACGCCTGAGATATTCTGCTCGAAACTGGACCCCGCGACCGTGTTTCGCATGCATTCATGGCGCAAAGCGTGGATCCTGGCGCGAAACTGCCATGGATCCATGCGAATACGTTCGCGGGGGTTCTTATTCGAGGGGAATATCTCCGCCATTAGAGCACTACCTGAGCTGCTGCTTCGGCAGTGCCTTAGTTAGGGCCCCAAAAGTACTTTCCATGTAAAATCCCCATAGGTCCAGACTTGCCTGGACGCTGCCTTCAAGCTCCAAACCCCAACTTTGTCTCTAAACCCCACCCAAATAAGCCGAATAGGACCCCCCCCCGGGTAGGAATTTAGCGCGACCCTCACCCCGTACTCTACCCCCTCCCTCTCACCCCTAGCGTTTGTGGATAGAAGATAGAAGAAAGAACGAAGAGATAAGACATTTATTTCCAATTTTTCAAACTTTCGAAAAATCTATCTATCTATCTCCAGCATACGTACAACAGTTACTTCATATTACAAAAACCATACTAGGAGTTAGAGATAAGAATATTCAAAGAAAAGCTAATTTTCTAGTTGCAAAAAGAACCTTGTAACACCACATTATAAGCATATGGTTTTAACATGGTAAGAAAATGACAAAAAGATCAAAAAAGCATTCTGTGCAACATGAAACAAAACAGCGAGGAACGCCATAAACTCACATTTGCAAAGCAGGGACATATTGTCCAAGTTCGATATATACATGACCTATATTCATCCAAACATCTTCGAATTCCGAGGTAGCTTCACGAACTTGAGCGAAGATGTCACGGGCATCTTGCCACATTGCTTTCGATGCTAATACGCAGCCTAAAATGTGAAAATCAAGGAGAAAAACGCTTGGGGGTTCTTATAATCGCAGAAGAACAATCGTACGATGGTACAGTACTTACACGGTCGTCAGTCTTTTTTCTGCCCATTAAAGAGCATCTCCATCCAGACGTTGCCAAGTGAGACCCATGAGTAAGCATCTTCCTTATCCATCTTATTCAACACTTGTTCAAATTTCTTTTGACCAGGTCCCCATCTGTGAGAAGATTGATCAGACAGAAGCAAAACAAAGCTCATTACTCACTCATGTTTAGACATGTGCAGATTTCCGATAAGCACCCATGAATCGGCATTGTTCTGATCAACGGACATACTGTCGTATAGACCTCGACACGATACCCAATTGACATCGTGCGTCAAAAATGCGTACTTGATGTAAATACAGCGTACACTACTTACCTCAACCTGTAATTAATATTTCTTGTACTTCCTCCCCATCTCTCTGGAGTTGGGAAAATGACTGAAGAAAGTATTGGTAAAACTGACTGATTTTAAATATCACTACTCGTACTGAAATCTTGAATCATGGGGGTTATTTATCATGCTGATTCCGAAAATGGTACTCATTTTGCTCGATAGTCGTTTATTTTAGCTGCAGCAGCTGCCCGTTACTGAACAGAATCGCTTAGATTCTGTTTAGTTTGTTTTGCAGAAGTTAAAAGATGATACTCATTTCGCATATCATCTATTCTATGAATGGGAGACTCGAGACTGCTGTGCACATAATGTCTAAACAATGGTAGAACTTGCTCTTCCGAGTTTCCAAGTCATAAAAATACCTTCAATTTGATAGATTAGTTTGGAAAAAAATTTACCAAACATCATACATTACCTTTTACGCGCTCGAACCTACGATAGCATCGAAAGCCCAGTGAATGTCAGAAGTGATAAAAGTAATTGGAATAGGCAATCTAGAAACATCGGTAATCACGTGAGTAATCTGGAGAGACAGCCTCCTTACCTCTGACCTGCACTTCCACTTGGCACATCAAATAACTCCAAACTTAGCTATGGGGAATCGATAAACGCCTATCAAGCAAAATGAGTACCATTTTTGGAATCAGCATGATAAATAACCCTCACGATATAAGATTTCAGCACGAGTAGTGATAATTAAAATCAATCAGTTTTACCAATACTTTCTTCAGTCTTTCTTCATTTTCCCAACTCCAGAGAGATGGGGAGGAAGTACAAGTTGAAAAAATATTAATTACAGGTTGAGGTAAGTAGTGTACACCGCCTTTACATCAAGTACGCATTTTTGACGCACGATGTCAATTGGGTATCGTGTCGAGGTCTATACAACAGTAACGGATATCGCTTCTTTGAACCACACCGATAAATCATAAATCTGCCCTCGATCGCGTGCAAGACATCCGACACGTAGATAACCTTTGCAATATGATGCACTAGAATGAGCGCACAGAATGTTAATTTGAAAAAACTTACAATCCGTGTAATTTTCTTCTTCTCTCAAAATGCCTTTGTATAAAACTTCAGCGTCTTCGAACAAGCACAAGTGTTCCAAACATCTAGCGAGGTTGTATCTCATAGTGATGACATAGGAAGAAAGTTTCGAATCGCACAGATCTCCCTCCAAATCTTCCTGTAACGATCAAAGAGAATGAGCGAAGCTAAGCACATGCAACTTACTTGGAGCTTAGCTTCCGCTGCTTCGAAGTACTCCTTCGCCCTTTCATGATTTTCCAAAGTCATGTGCAAGGCTCCGATATTGTTTAAGATAGCAGCTGGCGGATCAATTTGTAAACCATCTTCACTCGTTTTTATGAGATCACAAGCATTTTCATAGAGAGTGAGCGATTTCTAGAAGAGCCGGTTGTCAAAACTCGTAAAATGTAATTGATGATGTAAACTAACATGCGGATCTACTCCTTCCAAAAGCTGAGCAAGATCTATCAAAACTTCAACATCGTTTAAAGTTGCCTCCAAGACTTTTGTCAACATATCTCTTGCCTTGTCCTGTCTTTCAAGCCAAAAACGATATAGTGAGGATCTGCAACGTCTGATGAAAAGTCGATCGACTTGGTAAGCATACGTACGAGAGAGATAGCAATAAACGGATAATTTAGACGATACTTTCATCACAACAACACTAGATAGTTGCGCAACTAACCTCATTGTTTCGAAAATCCAGAATTAATCACAAAAACCACTCCATCAATAGTCTAGATGTGTCAGCAAGTCGGAAAGAGCCAAACACTGAAGGTGATTGAGTGCAACCGCACGAAAATCTGAAACATAAACCTGAAAACGAGGAGCTTACAACAACATAAACGCCAACGCGACGAAGAGCAACGCGGAAAAGAAAAAAACGGTAAAGAAACGCGCAAAAACAACAAAATCAAAGAAACGGCGACTAAAATATGGACAAAGAGCGTAAACAGAGGACTCATCACCGTGGAGTTAGATGTTTGCTTGCTACGCGCCAAATCGATACGCAGCCTGCTCCGGATACCCCCATTTTCTGCTCCGGATACCTCCCATTTCTCCGGCGGATACCTCCCATTTTCTGCTCCGGATACCTCCCATTTTCTGCTCCGGATACCTCCCATTTTCTGCTCCGGAGGCCTCCCATTTCTGCTCCGGACCCCTCCCATTTTCTCCGGCGCGGCTCTTCCAAATTTGGCGGACACGCGCCGCGCAAATTTCTCCGGCGCGGAGTCCGCCAAATCTGGCAGAGTCGCGCCGGAGAAATGGCGGACCTTTGCAGCAGGGCCGGAGAAGCCTCCCATTTGCCTGCCAGTGATGTCACCGCGATGGACCGCCCATTTGCCCTTCTCTCATTGGTCAACTGGGTCCGGCGCGACTCTGGCAGTTTCGGAGGGTCCGGCGGAGGGGTCCCGTCGATTGTCTGAGGTAGAGCCAATGGGGGCGACTGCGAAGCAGAGGTGACGCACTGTCGTAGTATAAGTGCTCAACATCATCTCGACTCTCTATACAAATAACAGTCGCCATGCAGCGAAACTCAATTGGTCTAAAACGCTTGTGACTTTCTGGATTTTCTAAAAAATTTCAAAATTTGTAATAATTCATAGACTAACAAGGGAAGGATGATCGGTCGAAGTGGCGATTTGGAATGAGCTGTATATTATGAAACCGTCCTCGGTAAGGCAAACTCAAAACTACTTTCGCTAGGTGCCGAGCGGTTTTTTGGGGCGAGTTACAGGGCCATTTTCCTCCGGCGCAGCCGGCGCGCCCAATGATGAGCGAGGCGCTGAGAACAAGTTAGCAGTGTGGCGGTGGCGCAGTGGCAAGACAGCGGGCTACGAAGCAAATGGTCGAGGGTTCGAGTCCTGTTGCTGCTATTTTGCTTTGCAGTTCTGTAAAAAGTCTATTGGGTGACAGTAAACGAAAAATACTCATTTCTAGGCAGTTGAAACAAGCTATTTACTGCAAAAAAGTCACTATTTCTACAATAAGCTAAAATTTTCTACAGTATGTAAATCTGTGGAGGTTATGATGTCACAACAAGGGATTCAAATGATAAATCAACATGTATGGAATACAACCACAAAATGCTCAAAGCAGAAGAGCTTCTCGCAGCGCGCACATCTGATAAAATATAAACGATGACAAACAGCAGCTTCACAATTGCCTATCAAAGTCGGTGAAAAACAGTACTGAATAGGAGACTCGAATTCGCCGCGGTGGCTATCAATGTATCCGGCTGCATGCCAATGGGTATGAAAGGAAATTTTTGAATCGCGACGAGTATGTTCAGATCGAGAGCCAATACATGGGATGTGAATTGATTGCAATTCTGAAAGTGCGCGCGCTGCGAGAAGCTCTAGCATTTTGTGGTTGTATTCCATACATGTTGTTGTGACATCATAACCTCCACAGATTTACATATTGTAGAAGATTGTAGCTTATTGTAGAAACAATGACTTTTTTGCAATAAATAGCTTGTTTCAACTGCCTAGATTTGAGTATTTTTCGTTTACTGTCACCCAATAGACTTTTTACAGAACTGCAAAACAAAATAGCAGCAACAGGACTCGAACCCTCGACCATCTGTTTCGTAGTCCGCCGTCTTGCCACTACGCCGCCGCCACACTGCTGAGCTGTTCTCAGCGCCTCGCTCATCACTGAGTGCGCCGGCTGCGCCGGAGGAAAATGGCCCTGTAACTCGCCTCACAAAACCGCTCGGCACCTAACGAATGTAGTTTTGAGCTTGCCTTACCGATGACGGTTTCCTAGTTTACAGCTCATTCCAAATGGCCACTTCGACCGATCATCCTTCCCTTGTAAGTAAGCACAATCTTTTGAGGTTACGCTGCATACTAGAGTACGTCGCTTTCTTGCTATGGCAAAACTCGCAGAAGCTTTCAAGCTCTATCGAGCATAAGTTACTGCAAATTGTTAGGTCTGAAGGATTAAAACTACTCAAACATGAATGAACTGGTGACCAAAAAAGGCTCATTGCCACTCAGACAACCGCGCGGGGGGTGGGAGGGGAGGCGGTCCGCAAACTCACGCTTTCTTGCAGGCCGTCAGCAGATTTGGGGCGTGGCCAAATTTTCAGTAACGGTACTTCCTTTGCTGTCCATGTTCTGCCAGTGGGCGTCAATACAGATTTTCTGCAAGCTGTTGTCAAGTAATTCCTTTCAGCAAGCGCAGGCCAAATTTTCAGCGGGCGCTCTGTCTTTTGTTAAGCAGTTCCGGCCGTACGCCGAGGAAATAACATTCTTCATGGCAGAGGTGTCACCGATGGTTTAATTTACCCGAGTTCGGGGTACTTTCTCTCGACGGAAAGTACCTACGGGCTATGCGGTCTTTCACAAAGGACCACACCCAACAATTTTGCATATTCTCGCGAAAGTCCAGACTATGCAATTAGTTCACTGCGCCGCAACTAATCCATGAAAAGGCCGCGGTTGTTCTCCGAGCATTCGTCCAAAATTTCGCCAAGATTCTTCCAAATATCTGCAAGCGGATCGCAAGAAATCAGCAAACTATCTTTCCGGTCCCCGTCTGCCCATAAATCGCATGGCCGCCTGCCTCCGACATTTATCTGAGTAGGGGTACCAAGTTTAGTCAAAAAATGCTGCTTTAGTCCTGCAACGCCGATTTTTTGGACTTTTCGCTATAAACCTTAGGGCATTGCAACATGCACAGGCAATAATCCAGATATAGAAAAGAAGGAAAATAATTCTTGAGCAGAATTGATTAATTATGTCCAATAGCTCATAATACCAATGCAAAAATGTTGCATAGCAATACAGATAAGCGTCGGAGGCAAGCGACCATGCGATTTATTGGCGGGCGGGCACCTGAAAAATAGTTTGCTGATTTCTTGCGGTCCGCTTGCAGATATTTGGAAGGATTTTAGCGAAGTTCTAAACGAATGCTTGGAGAACAATCGCGGTTTTCTTATAAATTAGCTGCGGCGCAGTAGCCGGATTCTCGCGGACTTTTTGCGAGAATATGCAAAATTTTCGAGAGCCGCACGGTCCTTTGTGGAGGACCGCGCAGCCCCCAGATACTTTCCGCTTAGAGAAAGTACCTTAAACTCAAGTAATCAAACCATCGATGACAGCTCTGTCATGTAGAGTCTCACCTTTGCTCGGCGTACGCCCGAAACTGCTTAAAAACCGTCCGAGCGCCAGCTGAAAACTTGACCAGCTCTCGCTGAAAGAGATTATTTGACGAGCGCCTGCAGAAAAGTCTGTGTTGCTGCCCGCTGGCAGAACATTAGACAGTAAAGGGAGTACCGCTCGCTGAAGATTTCCACGCCCCAAAATTCTGCTGACCGCTTGCAGAAAAAAGCGAGTTTGCGGACCGCCTGCCCTCAGCGATTATCTGAGAAGTTGGTGAGGGTACTTTAGTGTGTATTCGATCGTATTTACAAGAAGCGCCAGACTGCAACCCTTATCTGCGGAACGCTCCTGATAAAAGTTCAAAGTTTGACAATGCTCATTGTTAACACATTGCTCAGTATAGATGCGCAGTGCGTTTTATCGTGCTATAAGCAGCATCAATGCTGTCGTTTATTTCGCAGAGAGTTGCATGTCCGCATTTTTCAAAACATTTTTTTGCTTTTTGCTGACGCCACAGCCTTCTTCTGAAAAACTTTTTGCAAATAAGGAATACAGTTTTTAGATGAGCATTCATCATTGCCTTCAGCAATATACATCTCTTCTCGAACTTCTACGTCGACTCAAGGGGCAGTCCTTCTACTCGAATTCTCCAAGTTTACAATTTCAAAAGTTCTGTTAGAGATTACGTCTGCGTCACAACTCGTTTTAAGTGCATATAATTCTTACAATGGAGGAACATGAGTTGAATTAGCTGAATATAACTTTTGCAGCAGCGTCAGAACTGCGTTTCATTCGCAATAATACGCCGGAAGTGCCGCATTGTTATAACTTTCTAAAGGTTACTCCTTTCGAGCTCTAACTCGATTATTTAGAACCTACTTGATGCAACAGATAGGAAAAGTGACCGATTTGAAATCTCAATTGAAAGTCAGAAAACTGACATTCTCTGTCTCAAAGCAATAATTGGAAAACCTCGTGTCTTACTGTGATTTGGAATATCTGAATCAATCAGAAAATTTCTAAATTTTGACGAATTTCAAAATGAAGTTCATAATTTCAATTTCCAGATTTCACTATGTATAGTTCATTTATAAAATCGTGACGACGGTTTACTGCTGAATTTGCGCACATAGAAGCATAAAACGCTCATGCAAA